CAGCACCCCCAGAACCAACACCCCCAGAGCGAGAACCCCCTCCAACACCAGCGGCACCCCCAGAAGCCGCAGGACGAACACCCTCCTCCACACCAGCACCCCCAGGGGCCGAGAGCAGCGGCGGCAGTGGCGGCAACGGCTGCGGCGGCGGCGACAGCGGCGACGGCTGCGGCAGCGACAGCGGCGGCGGCGGCGACGACAGCGGCGACGGCTGCGGCGGCGACGGCAACGGCGGCGGCAGCGGGGTCGGCGACTGCGACAGTGGGGGCGGAGGCACCGGGGAAGGGGGACGCGGCAAGGACGGACCGGGGGTACCACCAGAGTCAGCAGACTCCTCAACGGGGACAACCGACGGGAGGGGAGTGACGTGGGAGACACCAGACGGGGCAGGACGAGGCGGGAGAGGGGCAGGGGCTACCGGGGGAGAGGGAGCAAGGAAAAGGGGGGGGGCAACTGGGAGACCTCGGTGAGGGAAGCGGCGGTAGAAGGAGACGGACTCGTCAAAGGTGACGTCACGAGAGTGGAGGAAGCGGTGAGACGGCGGGTGGTAGAAAAGCCAGTCAGACGAGTCCAGGGGGAAACCGAGGAAGACACAGGGGACAGTGCGGGCAGTGAGCTTGTCCGTGCCAGAGGCACGAACGTGAGCAAGGCAGCCCCAGACGTGGAACGCAGACGCGTCACCGGGGGACCCGGTCCAAAGGAGGGTCGGCGAAACCTGCGGCCGCTGGGAGCGTGGCCACAGGTTAAGCTGGTGAGCCGCGTAGCGAACAGCGAACGGCCACAGAAAATGGGGGGCATCGGCATGGATCATGGAGGTACGGGCGACCTCCATGACCAAGCCGATGCGGCGCTCAGCAACCCCATTCTGCTGTGGCGAGTCCGGCAACGTGTACGACTGGGTGATGCCCTCCGCACGACAGAACTGTCCAAGCCGACCAGAGGCGAACTCGCCGCCACGGTCGGAGTGGAGACACAACACGGGGAGACCGCGGTGGAGACGCGCAGCCACAACCCACGGGAGAAGAACGTCGGGCACGTCGGCCTTCCGCTCCAGGGGAAACACCGTGGTGTAGCGCGTGTAGTCGTCGACGAGCACAAGGAAGTAGCGCTCACCGCGCGGTCCGGGGACGGGGGCAGGGCCCCAAACGTCCAAGTGCAGGGTCTGAAGGGGGGCAGTAGCAGGACGCAGCGAGGAGGAGTGAGGAGCACGGCGGAGCCGACCCTCGACGCAAGGCGTGCACGGTGGCGCAGTCGAGGGAGGAAGGGCAGGGAGCGACGCGGGGAGACCTAAGACAAGACCGTGCTGGGACATGTGACGCAGACGCGGGAGAGCAGGGTGACCTAAGCGGTGGTGCCAGAGAAGGGAGGGGTGAGTGAGGGACCGACACGAGCAAGCTGCAGCGACCTGGGAGGACGCACCAACCGGGGGGGAAGCGGTGTGTAGGGTAAACAGACCGGACACCGGGTCCCGGGGGAACGTCGCAAGGGGGGAACCTGAGACAGCCTCAGAACAGACAGCGAACCGCTCGTGCCCGGGGAACGTGGTGGTGACGCCGAGGTCCTGGAGACAGCCGACACCAACCAAGTTCTTGGAGAACGAGGGAACGTGGAGGCCAGTAAGGGAGCCCGAGGGAACTGCCGGACAGGGAAGGGACGTAGAACTGCGCGCGACGACCGGACCCGCAGAGGGGTCAGCGAGAGAGACAACAGCACGTGCAGCAAGCGGCGTGAGCGTGGAACGGTCGCGGAAGAAGCAGGCAGAAGCACCAGAGTCAAGAGTGAAGGACAGCGACGCAGTGGCGGAGGCCGGGGACGGAGCCGGTGCAGCGACTAGACTAGGCAACCTAGGCAGTCCTATGCCTGTCGCAGCAGGGGAAGCTAAGCTACACAAGGGTGAAACACCTAAACTAGAGTACACAGGGTAGTAAGATCCAGCAACACTAGAAGCGTCAGCATACAAAGCATGCAAAGCAGCACCTATCTGATCCATGTCTAACTCAAAGATCGGCACGCCCTGGCGGAGCAGGCTGTGCCAGTCAGGGAGGTCCGGGGCCGGGCCAAAGCGACGACGAAAAAGATCGTCGAGGCGGCGGAAACAGCGGGCGGTCGGGTGCGGGCGGCGGCACAGAGTGCCGCGGAGAGGCCCAGTCTGAAGCTGGTACTGGCAGGTCACAGCACTGGAGCCGCTGGTAGACGCCAAGCTGCGTGGGCCGCCACCACGGCCACCGCCTCCGGAGGTGCCGGGCCAACCAGGCGGGAGACGAGCCCACGGCTGCGGCGGGTGCTGCTGGGACGGCGGCTGCGGCTGGGGCTGGTCCTGCTGCTGCTGGGGCTGCTGCTCCTGCCCACCGGTGGTAGTCCCCTCAGGCGGACTACCGTCACCACCACCACGACCACTACCACATGCGTCACCACCCCTACCTCCCTGGCGGCCACGGCCACCGCGACGCGAGCGCTGCTGCGGGTGGACAGCAGCAGCCATCTCGGTAAGAGGGGTCGCCGTGGCGACCGCAGCCGAAACGTCAGTGAACGTGCACTGGGATGGGGCACAGCCGTGAAAGATAGAGACTGCCGGCGCACCGCTCGACTGAGCGATAGTGCGCAGGCGAGTCTCGATCTCAGTGAGGGTGTCGACAAAGGCGGTCAGGGTGAGGTCACCCGGGTGCTGGCTAAGAAAGTGGTCGCGAGCACTAGCGAGGCGGTCTGGCAGGCGCATAGCGATAAAATAGAGCGTCATGCAGAAAGGAGGGGGGAGCGCAGTGAGCTGGGCAGCAGTGCTGGCAGTGCGATAGCGAGTCTCTAGGGCACGCAAATGAGTGGCAAAATCTGCGACAGTAGGGAAGGCAGCCAGGTCTGGGAACAGCATCGGAAAGAGCAAGCGGCCAGCAGAAGCGGAGGCAGGGGTGGAATAGCGAGCAATAACGGCGTCTAAATAAGCTTTGGCCGTTTCAACAGTAGCAAAACGCGAGCGCTCAGACACAGGGAGGGCGTGACTAATAGCAACCTGAGCTACTGCATCGCGTGAGTCCCAGACCGCACAGGCCAGCGCAGCAGTAGAGAAAGCCTCACGGTCATCAGAGGAGGGGTCAGCAGGGAGGGGAGTAGGTGCAGGGGGACGGGGGAGCAAGCCATCAGCATGGACAACCAGAGAGTGGCCATCCTGGCGCTGACCTGTAAGCTGGCGGCGAAGATCGGAGAGCCAGGCGGCGAAGTCAACCGCGTGGCCCTCAGCGTCCAGGCGGAGCACAAAGTCAGCCATCGTGCAGGGTCAGCGGCACAGCTCCTCAGCGACACAGCGGCACAGCAGCACAGCTCCTCAGCGGCACAGGAGCACAGCGGCGCGGGGACACGGCGGCAGCACTCTCCAGTAGGGCAGCAGCTAGGCGTCCCAGCGCAGGCAAGCAGAAGACACAGGGCCCGAGAGGACACGGCAGGCCGAGCAGGGGAGGCGGGCAGGTGCTCTGGGGCCGGGCTGGTGCTGGGAGGGGCCAGGCTGGTGCTGCTGGGGCCGGTCGGGCACGAGGCGGGGCCGGGCAGCGCTGAGGAGAGGCCGGGCGGCGCTAGGAAGGGGCCGAGCGGCACTAGGAGGAGGCCGGGCGGCACTAGGAGGAGGCCGAGCGGCACTAGGAGGAGGCCAGGCGGGCGAGCGCTAACAGCAGGCGCGACAGGGGCCAGCGGGCGCGACGGGGCCTAAGGGGTGCGACGGGGCCCAGCGGGCACGACGGGGCCCAGGGGGGGCGCGACGGGGCCGAGGAGGCGCGACGGGGACCAGCGGGCACGACGGGGCCCAGGGGGGCCGCGACGGGGCCTAACGGGCGCGACGGGGCTCAGGGGGGGCGCGACGGGGCCTAGCAGGCGCGACGGGGCCTAGGAAGCGCGAAGGGGCCCAGCGGGCGCGACGGGGCCTAGGAGGGGCGCGACGGGGCCGAACGGGCGCGACGGGGCCCAGAGGGGGGGACGCGACGGGGCTTAGGAGGCGCGACGATGCCTAGGAGGCACGACGGGGCTCAGCGGGCTCGACGGGGCCCATGGGGGGCGCGACGGGGCCTAGGAGGCGCAACGGGGCCCAGCGGGGGCGCGTTAGGGCCTAGGGGTCGCGACGGGACCCAGCGGGCGCGACGGGGCCCAGGGGGAGCGCGACGGAGCCTAGGAGGCGCGACGGGGCCCAGCGGGCACGACGGGGCCCAGGGGGGGCGCGACGGGGCCTAACGAGCGCGACGGGGCCCAGGGGGGGCGCAACGGGGCCTAGGGGGCGCGACGGGCGGAAGCGGTAGGCGGGGGGATCCTAACCTAAGCGTGATACCATGTTAACGTAGAAACGAATGATTATTAGAGGTGGAAACCTAGAACAAATACTAGTTGGTTGTACTCACTAGAAGCATACCTCAGTCTAGCCTATAACTTCTACATAGATAATATGTATAAGTTGACAACAAGAACACTGAGTCTGGAATATCAGACGGTCTAGAATACATTTTCTGATCAATCAGCTAATCATTAAGTCGATTTCTGGAAAATCAGATAATGCCGAAAAACTAGGTCTGAAAATCAGACCAACAGACGGAATTATTCTAATTGCAGGGACCCTGCTTAGCACCAAACTCTTGGAAAGATCCCACGTGCCATTTTCAGGGACCTATACCCAGGGAATAACAATATTGGACGAATCTGGGTACCAGTGATGGAAAAAATATCCCGAACATTGAGCAACACGTAGTAAGCTCTAATGTATTTCACCCATTTGGTTCATCACCTAAGCAAGCACACCGTTCATGACTTATTGCGAGTTTTTTTCCCTAGCTGTCATGCATAAACACGGTTGATTTACAGTAACGCATTTGGGTTTGCCGACGTGCTTTTTGCGCGTCTGCTATATTGTCGAAGAGATGAAAGTATCCCCGAAACTCAGGTTACCCTCCTTCGCACAGGCGGCTGTCGTGTGTTGGGCGGTCACGAAACCCCTCACATGAAGCAGCATGCTCTCCCATCTCTTTTCCACCCACCAACCTCACCGCGCACGCGTACGGTGCACCTGCAGACTAGTTGTCTTCGGTTCTAGCTCCTTCAGCAGATATCCCCATAGCCACTAGATCAGAGGACTACGCGCGTCGAGCAGGGCAACGATGAACGACTTATTAGGGGTGGGTGTGAGCCTATGGTGAGGCGTTGCATGAGCGCAGTTCCCATGCCGTGACGCCACGCGCGTGCGTGGGCCTGACGAGGTCGTGCGTGGTTTCGTGTGGTGGCAGGACGCGCCGTCGCCGCGGTATGGCGCGGCGGCGGAGCAGGAGGAGATGGACATGGAGACGGGGCTGATGGACGGCGGCGGCACGGACCCCAAGATGCAGCAATTCTTCGACGAGGCACGCCCGCCACCCGCGCCCTTGCCGCGCCCCCTGCCCTCCCTTCCCTTGCTTCTCCTCGGCTCCTCTCCCTTCGTTCGTTTTGCTTCGTTTCTTCCTGCCTTTTCATTCTCGACACGGGTGGCTGTCGTGTGAGTGGCGTGCTGTGGTGTGCGTGCGAGTGCGTGCAGGTGAACGACATCAAGAACAACATGCAGCAGATCCGCCACCGCCTGCACAGCCTGCAGGTGCGCGCCGCCGCTGCACCCCGCTGTGTGCATTGCTCGCCGCGTGTCGCTGTTGCCTCGCCGCATTGCTGTCCGTGTCGCGCTTACGCCCCGTCGCCACCCACAATGCGCGCGTGTGCTCGAGTGTGCCTGACCCCGTGGGTGTGTGATGCGTTCGTGTTGCCGTGTGCGCGGCGTGTGGCGTGTGGCGTGTGGCGTGTGGCGTGTGGCATGTGGCGTGTGGCGTGTGGCGTGTGGCGTGTGGCGTGCGGCGTGTGGCGTGTGGCGTGTGGCGTGTGCGATGCGTGTGTTCGAGCAGGAGGCGAACGAGGAGAGCAAGTTAGTCACGCGAGCGCCGGCCATGAAAGGTGCGTCTCACTCGCGCCCTCGCTTCACTGCGCGTCCCTGCCTCCCCGCCGCGTCGCAGCCCCGGCCGGCGCAGTCGCGATGGTATCCACCAAACTGTTTCGTCCTCCCCACTTTGGCGTCTCCGCTTAACGTCCGCTTCCACCCTTCCGCTCGCCTCCCCACTCCTTAGCCATCTCCCCCGCCCTTCGTCCCCCGCGCGCGCAGCGCTGAAGGAGCGCATGGAGGCGGACATCGACGACGTGCTCAAGGTGGCGCAGGCCATCAAGCGCCAGATCGAGGCGCTCGATAAAGCGGTCAGTGTCGCCATGCCGCCATCCTTCCGCTGCTCGCCGCGCGCCCGCGTCTTGCCGCACCCTTCACTGGGTCGTCCGTTGGCCCGTGCGTGGCAGTGACGCGCTGTCGTGTGGCGGCGCCAGCACTGCATTGGCAGCGCGCCCCTACTCCAGCTCATCAACCCCTCGCACCTTCCCATCCCCCCTTTCCCCTCTGCCCGTCTGGTGCTTGAAACGTGGGCGGGTGTGGCGCGGGGGCATTGGCATGGGTGCAGAACGTGGACAGTCGGAGGACGCCGGGGTGCGAGGAGGGCACGGGCACGGACCGCACCCGCATGTCCATCACCATGTGCGTTCGCCTCTCCCGCCCCCACCCCCCCTTCCCCCTCCCGACTTCCCCCCTCCTCCCCCTCCCCCCCCCCCCTCCCCTCTCCCAACGCCCCCACCGTCCTCTCTCAATTTCACTACTCTCTCTCTACCCGTCATGTTTTGTCTGTCGTTCTTTGCCCCATTGCCATGCCCGCCTCCCCCCTCTCCCTGTCCTCCCCTGCAACCCTTCCCCCCCTTGTCCTCCCCCCTCTCTCTCTCCCACTACGTTTGCTCGCACACGCTCAAAGCTCCACGGTTGCGCCCGTTCCTCCCGCCCGCTCGCCCATGCTCTCATACGCGCCTTGCTCTCTCTTTCTCGCTGTGTGCTTCGTGGGGTTGGGGTTGTAGGGGGATGCATGGGTGGCGGGGAGATGGGGGGCTGGATATGGGGATGTGCTGGGTTGGGTGTGAGGGCGTGCTTGTGGGAAGTGATGTGCGTACGCGTGCATCGGTGCTTGGGTGCATGGGTGCTCGGGTGCATTGGTGCATGGGTGCATGGGTGCATGGGCGCTCGGGTGCATGGGTGCATGGGTGCATGGGCGCTCGGGTGCATGGGGGGTGCATGGGGGGTGCATGGGTGCATGGGGGGTGCATGGGTGCATGGGTGCAGGACGATGAAGAAGAAGCTCAAGGAGCTCATGAACGAGTTCCAGGTGACCACCCGTGCATCATCGCCCATGCCACACCGCTGCTTCTCCCCCGCCCCACTGCTTGTCACATCATCTTGTGATTCCGCGCCTGCTCCTCCCAACCGCCTTTCTGTGCGCGTCGTCCAGCATCCCTTGTCGCCATCAACCATTCCACGCCTTGCCCCTTTAAACTACCACTCCCCCTCTCCCACTGTCCATGCCTCCCTCGCCCTTGTCTCCCATCCCCCGGGTGCCCCTCTCCCCCTACCGCCCCCCTCCCCCCCTTCCGTGCAGGACCTGCGCAGCAAGTTCCAGAGCGAGTACCGCGAGGTGGTGGAGCGCCGCTACTACACAGGTCACTCCACCACCATGCCACGCCATGCACTGGGGCAAGGGGAATGAGGGCACAGTGGGCCACACACGCTGAACCAAGGCTCGGGATACTGCATGCTGCACTGTCTGTTCACTGTCTGTTTCGGAAAGCACTAGCTTACACTCCCAGTTGCATCCGTTTTTCTCTCCACGTGCTCACCATTCCTTCCCATGCTCTGCGCCCCCCTTCCTCTTAACCTCTGCCCTGCTGTCCTGCAGTCACTGGCAAGCGCGCTGACGCTGAGGTACTCTCCCTCTGTCCTCGCCCCCCTGCGCACGCCTAAGCTCTCTCCTTGCTCCTCTCTGCCTGTCCCATTGTCGTACTCCTGATCTTTGCTGCTCTGCTGCCTTTTCAGCAATGAATGACTGCTCTTCCCATCGCTCTCTGTGCGCCCCCCCCCCCCCCCCCCCCCTCCCCCCCCTCTCCCCCCCTCCCGTCCCTGCCCTGGTGCACCCTCTCCCCCCCTGGTGGTGGCAGACGATCGACACGCTGATAGACACGGGCGACAGCGAGTCCATATTCCAGAAGGCCATTCAGGAGCAGGGCCGCGGCCAGGTGCGCACTCCACCGCCCACCCGCCCTGTGCTCACCCTGCCTTCCCCCACCCTTTGCTGTCAGCGCCACTCCCCACTGTGCTTTCCTCCTTGCTTGTTCACACTTGTTGCTCCCTGCTTCCCCAAGCCCCCCTATCATGTGCCAACTTGTCTCACGTTCTCACGTGCGTTGCGATGCCGCGCCTTGCCCCCATGCATGTGCGCTGGCAGCTGATGGACACGCTGGCAGAGATCCAGGAGCGGCACAGCGCCGTGCAGGACATCGAGAAGCAGCTGCTCGAGCTGCACCAGGTGCAACGACACGCCCCACCCTTCCTTGCGTTCTTCCTTCCCTTGTTTCCCTCGCCCCCCTCCCCCCCATGTGTTTCTCTCCTCCCCCCTACCCCTGCTCTTCTCTTCCTCTTTCATGCAATATATATATGTTATATATATATATATATACGTTGACATATACATCGTACACATTTTCACCTCCCTGTTATCCTTCCTTCTTCCATTTCTCTCTCCCCACCTCTCCTTTCTAACTATGCCACCCCCCCCTGCGTGTCTACCTCCGTCGGTCCCACTGTGCACGTGTGTGTGTGTGCGCAGATCTTCATGGACATGGCGGTGCTGGTGGAGTCGCAGGGCGAGCTGCTGGACAACATCGAGGTGCAGGTGGGGCAGGCCGTGGACCACGTGCAACATGGCACCAAGCAGCTCGTGGAGGCGCGCAAGACCCAGCTCAACACGCGCAAGGTGCTGCTCCCCTCCCGCCATGCACCCCTCCCTCTGCCCTCTCCCTACACCTCCCTCCCCCTATCCCCAAACCTCGTTTTCTCGCCCCCCTCCTTACGTGGATGGCTTTTAGGTTAGTTTTCGCTGGTAGTTTTAACCCTTACCATGCACCCCGGCTGTGTGTGTGCAGTGGATCTGCTGTGGCGTGATCCTGGTGATTGTGATCATCATTGTCATTGTCATCGTCGTGGTCAAGCCCTGGGAGTTCGCCAAGAAGTGACACCGCGTAACCCTCGTGCTCACACCACACCCGGGGCTACTGCCATGGCTGGTGCAGGGGATGCGGTGTGTGTGCTGCTCTCGCCCCCTGCACTGCACCACAGGCGACTCTAGTGTAGTTGCTCCCGTGACATCGCATCGGCGCTTCCATCCTCTAGTATTCCATCCATCAACGCCACCCCCCCATTCCTTGTACCACCTGCCATGCCGCTTCACTGCGCCATGCCACAGTAGCCTGCGTGCGTGCCTCCCTGCATGCCATGATGCCATCCCCATTCCACCCGGTCTCCACCATGCCATACGCCCACCACTTCACCCAATAATGTATAGCTTGTGCACCGTGTTAGGAATGCTATGATGCCCACTAGGCCCTCCATGATGTAGGGTGTCTGTAGTGATGGGTGGTGGGTGTAATAATGCCACTGCTCTAGTGGCAAGCGATTGCCTTTAGCTTCATGGTGGCTCCACTAGTGTAGATAATTAGCATGCCATCGGTGGTCATTCGTAGTTGATCTAAAGTATGATAGTGTTTGATGTTTATCTACGTTGTTACCGTCATTGGTCGAATAGCATGATAAAAAAAAAACCCATATTTCAGTACTTTGTCTTAGAATAATGGAATGGTTAGACGAGAGGATACATGGTAGTTTTGTGCTGGTGTGTTGTACTCTCTAAGAGCACACACACCTATCTAGCCTATAACAACATATGAATAGAAATTGACACACCCCCAAGGCTGGACAAGAGTAAGTTGTCAAAACATATATATATATATATATATATCTTATAGGCTAGATAGGTGCGCACTCTTAGAGAGTACAACCCCTTGTATCTCTCATTCTAGTCACTCATTCTTACTTTCAAATGGTATCACGCTTAGTTAGGTCCCCCCCCCCCCCGCCCACCCGCGCTTCCGCCTTAGGCCTAGTCCTAGCTGCCCCGTTAGCGCCACGCTGGCTCCTTAGCTCCCCGCTGACCCCGTACGCCCCGCTGCCCCCTTAGCGCCCCGCTGGCCCCGTTAGCGCCCTGCTGGCCCTGTGCGCCCCGCTGGCTCCGTACGCCTCGCTGGCCCCTTAACGCCTCACTAGCCCTGTTTGCGCTCCGCTAGCCCTGTCGAGCCCCGCTAGCCCCGTGCGCCCCGCCGGCCCCGTACACCTTGCTGGCCCCGTTCGCCCCACTGGCCCCGTCGAGCCCCGCTAGCCCCGTGCGCCCAGCCGGCCCCGTACGCCCCGCTGGCCCCGTTAGCGCCCCGCTGGCCCCCGTCGAGCCCCGCTAGCCCCGTGAGCCCCGCCGGCCCCGTCCGCCCCGCTGGCCCTGTTAGCCCCGCTGGCCCCGTACGCGCCACCGGCCCCGTGCGCCCCGCTGGCCCTGTTCGCACCCCGCTAGCCCCGTCGCGCCCCACTAGCCCTGTGCGCCCCGCTGGTCTCGTGCGCCTCGCTGGCCCCGTTAGCGCCCCACTAGCCCCGTCCGCCCCGCTAGCCCCGTGCGCCCCGCTAGCCCTGTGCGCCCAGCCGGCCCCTCACTCACCGCCCCCCAGCGCCACTGGCCCCTGCTCTGCCGGCAACAGCCCGCACCGGCCCCGCGCCGTCCAGCTGCCGCATCGCTGTACCGCCGAGCCGCCGAGTAGCTGCGCCGCCGTGACGCTCTGCCGCCCCCGACCTACCGGCCTTGGCTCCCTTCTGAGCCGGCACATCTGCCGGCTGTCTCAACCGCTCTCCACTGCTCTCCACCGCACGGCACCGCACTCCACTGTACTCCCATCGCTCTCCACCGTACTCCACTGCATTCCACCGCTCTCCACCGCTCTCCACCGCACTCCACCGCTCTCAGCTGCCTTCTTTCGCCTTTCCTCCTCTCCTTGTCAGCGGCAGTCAGCTGGTGCAGCCGGGGTGATGGCGGACTCACTGCTCCGGATGGACGCGGAGGGCCGGGCGATCGACTTCGAGGCGTGGCTCGTCGACCTGCACCGGCACCTTACAGGTCAGCGCCAGGACGGTCACTCCCTGGCTGTTCATGTTGATGGCCTGCTTCCCCACACTGCTGCGCCTGTTGCCCTCCCTGACACCACCACCACTGTTGAACGTGAGGCCTGTTCCGCTGCTACACTTGCTCGCGCTGTCTGGGAGTTGCGCGATGCAGTTGCGCAGCTTGCTATCAGTCACGCACTTCCCCTGTCTGCGCGTCCCCGCTTTATTACTGTAGCAAACGCCAAAGAATTCTTAGATGCCGTCATCGCGCGCTATTCCCTCCCAGCCTCTGCCTCTGCTGGCCGCCTAATCCTCCCCATGTTGTTCCCTGATCTTGCGTCCTTCCCCACTGTCACCGATCTTGCCACTCACCTCTGTGCACTAGAGTCTAGCTACCGCGCCGCTAGCACTGAGGCTCAGCTCACTGCCTTCCCACCGCTGCTTTGCGCTACCCTTTACCTCATTGCCACGCGCCTTCCTGATCGCCTAGCCACTGCCCACGACCACTTCCTTAGTCAGCACCCCGGTGACTTCACCCTCACCGCCCTTGTCACCGCCTTGTCCGCAATAGAGACCCGCCAGGGCACTATCGCTCAGTCTAGCGGTACTGCGCTGGTCCTTATATTTCAAGGCAGTGCTCCCTCCCACTGCACTTTCTCTGACGTCTCTGCCGCTGTTGCTGAGACCGCCGAAGTGGCCTCAGCATAACCGCGTCCAGGTAGGGGCCGCCGCCCCAAGGGGGGGCGTGGCGGAGGAAAGGGTGGTGGGGGTGGTGAGGGTGGAGGAGGTGGGGGCGGGGAAGGTGGTTCCGACGAGGGGACCAGGGCTGGTGCCCCGGAGCAGCAGCAGCCGCAGCCTCAGCAGCAGAAGCACTAGCCGCAGCAAACCCAGCAGCAGCAGCCGCAGCAGCAGTCGCCGCAGCAGCAGCAGTCACCGTGGGGACCCCTGCCGCCACGGTGAACTGGCGGCGCTGGTGGCGGTGATCGCGGTGGTGGCGGGCGTAGCTCGGTGTCGGGTGGCGGCTCCAGTGTGGTCACCTGCCAATACCAGCTTCAGACCGACCCCCGCAGCGGCACCGTCAGCGACCGTCCCGGTCACACCGCCGCCCACTGCTACCGCCGCCTGGAGGACCTTTGCCACCACCGCTTCGATCCCACGGCGGACCCTCCTGACTGGTATGCCTGGCTCACCACCGTGTGCCTGTCTTTGAGCTGGACATGGATGTGATTAGGACTGCCATGTCTGTCATGTATGATGACTCTAGTGTGATTGGACCCTATTACCCGGTGTTGCCTAGCGTAGGTGTGTCCTCTGTGTGTAGTCTAGGCTCCTCTGCTGCGTCAGACGTGGGACCCTCTGCCTTGTTTAGCTTAGGCTCTACGCTCGCCCCTCCGCCGAGTGACGCTACAGCGTCGCTCTCCTTTACGCTCGACTCTGGAGCGTCTGCCTGTTTCTTTTGCAACCACACTGTCCTCATGCACTTGTTGCCCCTGCCGCCGTAGCGCTTGCTGACCCCTCATCAGGTCCGGTAGTAGCCCGTAGCTCCACTACCCTCCACTGTCCGGCGGTCCCCTCGGGCACTCTTACAATCCTGCACATCTCCTTGTTCTCTAGGAACACTGTTGGTGTCGGCTGTCTTTACGAACTAGGCGTCACGACTACGTTCCCCAGACATGAGCGGTACGTGGTTTGTACCGAGACCGCCACCGGTGCCCCTTTGACCACTTTCCCCCCGGTCCCTGTGTCCGGCCTGTTTACGCTTGACACTACGTCCCCCTCGGGAGGGCGTCCCTCCAGGTGCCTGCAGCGACCCAAGTCGCTGCGGCTTGCTCGTGTCCGTCGCTCACTCACCCGTCGCTGCTGTGGAACCACCGCCTAGGTCACCTCGCACTCTTGCGTCTGCGTCATATGTCCCATTACGCTATTGTCTTCGGTCTCCCTGCGTCGCTCCCTGCCCTCCCTCCCTCGCCTGCGCCGCCGTGTGCGCCTTGCGTCGAGGGCCGGCTGCGCTGTGCTCCTCACTCCTCCTCGTTTCCCCCTACTACCGCGACACTCCAGACCCTGCACTTGGACGTTTGGGGCCCAACCCCCGTCCCTGGGCCGCGTTGAGAGTGCTACTTTCTAGTGCTTGTCGACAACAACACAGGCTACACCACGGTGTTTCCCCTGGAGCGGAAGGCCGACGTGCCTGACATTCTTATCTCATGGTTTGTAGCTGCGCGAGTCCATCGCGGCCTCCCAGTGCTTCGTCTCCACTCCGACCGTGGCGGCGAGTTCGCCTCTGGTCGCCTTGGCCAATTCTGTCGTGCGGAGGGCATCACCCAGTCGTACACCCTGCTGGACTCCCCACAGCAGAATGGGGTTGTTGATTGACGCATCGGTTTGGTCATGGAGGTTGCTCGAACCTCCATGATCCATGCAGGTGAACCCCATTTTCTGTGGCCGTTCGCTGTTCGCTACGCCGCTCACCAGCTTAACCTGTGGCCGCACTCCCAGCGGCCGCAGGTTTAGCCAACCCTTGTTTGGACCAGGTTCCCTGGTGACGCGTCTGCATTCCATGTCTGGGGCTGCCTCGCTCAAGTTCGTGGCTCTAGCATGGACAAGCTCACTGCCCCCATTGTTCCCTGTGTCTTCCATGGTTTCCCCCTTGACGCGTCTGACTGGCACTTCTACCACCCGCCTTCTCACCGCTTCTTTCACTCTCGAGACGTCACTTTTGACGAGTCTGTCTCCTACCACTGCTTTTCCCACCGAGGTCTCCTAGTTTCCCCGCCCATGTTCTGGAACCCACTCCCCCGGTAGCCCTTGCTCTTCTCCCTTCCAGTCCTGCCCTGTTTGGTGTGTCTCACGTCACTCCCCTCCCGACGGTGGTCCCGGTGGAGGAGTCGGCTGACTCTGAAGGCCCCGCGGCTTCGGTTTCGCAGTCTGTCTCCACCCCGGTGCCTCCTCCTCCGCTATCGCAGCCGAAGCACTTGCCGTCATCGCCGCCGCAGCAGCAGCCGACGTCGCCCCCGTAGCAGCCGCAACAGCCACCGCCTCCTGTCAAAAGCACACCGGTCGAAAGCACACCGGTCGAAAGAACACCAGTCGAAAGCACTCCGATTGAGAGCACACTGGTTGAAAAGCACACCAGTGTCAAGGCACACCCGTCGAAAAGCACACCGGTCGAAAAGCACGCCGGTCTAAAAGCACATCGGTCGACAGGCACACCGGTCGAAAGGCACACCGGTCAAAAAGCACACCGGTCGAACAGCACACCGGTCGAACAGCGCACCGGTCGAAAAGCGCACCGGTCGAAAAGCGCACCGGTCGAAAAGCGCACCGGTCGAAAAGCGAACCGGTCGAAAAGCGCACCGGTCGAAAAGCGCACCGGTCGAAAAGCGCACCGGTCGGAAAGGGCACCGGTCGAAAAGCGCACCGGTCGAAAAGGGCACCGGTTGAAAAGCGCACCGGTCGAAAAGCGCACCGGTCGAAAGCGTACCGGTCGAAAAGCGTACCGGTGGAAAAGCGCACCGGTCGAAATGGGCACCGGTCGAAAAGGGCACCGGTCGAAAAGCGTACCGGTAGAATAGCGCACCGGTCGAAAAGCGCACCGGTCGAAAAGCGC